CCGTGTTTTCGCCTCCTTGGAGTCTTCAATATTCATGGCATCTAAATCACCTTCCCTTGTTATTCACTTATCCGAAATGCTTCTGTAAAGGATTAAAAAACAAACAAAAAAAAGCCTCAAGGACAAATTCTCAAGAGATGAGCGGGATAAAATACCAGCTCTCAGCAAACAAACACGGCCGCCCGCATCTTGGCGGATTTTCTGCCTTTTGCTCCCAGATTTAGCCCCCATCCAGCTTTCTCCCCGCTCTGGCACACGGGGCAGAGGGAGGAGGAGGAAGGTGATCCCTGGGCTCGTATCACTGCTGGTTCCCAGCTGTTGCGGTGACTTCAGCCTTGCCAGGCAGGGGCAATTAACGGGGGAAGTCCTCTGCCCGCCGCAACCTGGCCACCAGCTGCTGGAGAAAAAGTCCAAGGTCCAAATCTCTGCAAGAAGCAGCAGCCAGGAGCAGGTGGGAAAATGAGATCCCAGCCAGGGCTGCCTCTTTTTGTGGGTTTTGCTAAGAATTGGGCAACCTCGTTTTGGGGCAAAAGGTGACAAAGGTGACAAGGTTGGGTTAAGAAGTGCACTCAAGCCAAATGGGAGCTGCTAAGCAGGAACACGTGTCAGCATCACGGAAGGCTGCCTGGGATTTTTTAAATATACATTTTTTTAACCCCAGATCACCCAAAATGAGCAGCTCTGTCATAAATTGGGTATTAAACCCCCCCGTCTGTCGTCTGCATGATGGCCCTGGAGGACACAGCTCCCGTCCCGTCCCGTGAGAGCGGAGATTTCCTAAGTGTGGGATGTGAATCATGCCCCGAAACATCACCCAGGGCGGCCCACGGGGAAACGCTGAGCACCGGGCTGGCTGCTCAGACTCGGTCTCGTTGTGTCTGCTCAGTGAATCTTTAATTAGGGCTATGCAAATTCCGGCAGCTTCTAATTGGCTTAATCCCAGGGCCAGCTTGAGGTTGCTGTTGCTTCCAGCGATTTGGGGGCTGTTTGCTCCTCTGCTTGGCTGAGGATGCTCCAAACCCATCCCACTGACCGAGCTGGAAGGGGGCTTTTCCTCCCTGCTTCTTCTCAGCCCGGTTGATGCCCCCGTTTTCTAAGCTGTAACCCCAAAAGGCATGGAAAAGCCACGTCCACCTGCCAGCCATGCGGTCCTCTTGTCTGAAAACAGACAGAATGGTGGAAAAGGGTGATGCTGGATGGGATCCTTCGCTGGAAGCCCCATCTCCTCCAGTGCAGCATCCCGATGGAGCTGGGCACGGCGTGGCACTTGTCCAGGGATTTCATCGGCCTCAAAATATTGGGGTAAAGAAAGAGGATCCATGGACAGGTCGGCCCAGGCACCTCTGTGCACGCTCAGCTTCTTCTTTTGGGGTTTTTGCTCTGGGGGTGGTAGCGGCGCTGCCTTTCCACCTGAGGATCAGCACGTTTCCACGCTGCAATCCCAAAGGGATCAAAAAGCCGACCCAGAACCAGCCTCCTTCAGCATCAAGGCGCGCGCCTGTGCCAGCTGCCAGCCCTGCCTCGACGCTTCTGGCAGGGATTCGGGGTGCGATCGCTTCTTGGGTGCAATTCCCCTGAGCTGGCTGAGATCTTTCCCTCGGGACGAGGTGACTCATGCCCCGCAGTGCCCGTTCCCCTTCTCGCTGCTGGCCCAGACACGCAGGTTTGCACGGCAGCAGTGATGTCAGCCCCTCCGGGCTGCGCATCGCAGGCGGCATCGCCTCGTACCCACCTGGTACAAAGCTCCTGCTGAGCACCGGTTCTGCTCCCACATCCCTGCCTGAGATCTCTGAGCCGGGGTCCTTGCCAGACCCATCCTCTAAATTCAGATCTAAATCGTGTGCTGGAGGCTGGAGGCGGCCAGGCAAATAGCTGATCTCGCTCCCGTCTTCCTACGGGTCATGCAAAGCTTCCTCGTCTTCATTTTGGATCTGCTCGTTTGCAAGTGAGCAAAATGGATTTCTTTGGGAATTGATGCCCACTGCATCCTTGAGGCCACTTTATTCGTATGTACTCCCTCAAAGCACCTTGCAGGGTGTTTATTTGTCGTTTTCCTGTTGGTTTTTGGAAACAACCCAAGCTCCCCCAAAGCCATCTCCCTTTTAAAGGACACATTGGCCACCTCCGAGGTTGCTCACAGTGATGGACCCGCTCCCCAGAACCAGCCCTTTTGTCCAGTTTTTATGTCCCCAAATACTCCTGGGTGACTTTCTGCTGTGGCCTGACCCCCCCCTAAAAAAAAACCCTTAACCTTGGTCATCCACAGAGGCCAAACTTCCCTGGTTCTGATTGCTGCTGAAGGTTTTCCACCTGTAAAAAATTGTCCTACAAAACCCTTTCACCTTTGGTACCTGCTGCTCAGCCGGACTCAGCGCAGCAGGGATGACACCTTGGGAGCCCTCTCCGAATTTCTGCCGGGTAATTTGCAGGCTGGACGTGTGCGAACAGCCAGCCTGGGCAGAGAGGACCACAGCGGAACTGATTTTACCTGTTTTGACACAGAACGGCCGCCTGGCATTTGCTGACGCCGCGTATTGCACGTTCAGGTATGTGCATGCAGCACCTGCATTCCTGCAGGAGAAGGTGCCAGAAAAGGTGTTGGTTTTCTTATTTTTTTATTTTATTTTTTGCAGGTTTCAGGGCTCCTTGCAGGGTTTAAATACTAAAAAAAAAATAAAGCACTAGCAGCACACCCAACCCCAAGGTCAAGCAGGTCTCTGCAGCCATCAATCCCAAGGGCACACGACGTTTTATTAATGTCCTCTGAGGGCTGTGCTCAACCCTGGGGGGCGTGAGGCTGAGATTTTCCCTGCCAAACCCAAACACACGCCAGGATCCTCCCGCAGTGCTTCCACCAGCATGTGGCTGACGTGTGCTCGGCGTCTCTGGCACGAGGGGCGCGGGGGACGAGGGCTGCTCCCCATTTCTCCGCTCACCCATGAGCTCAGCGCTCCGATTTTCCCATCCTTCAGCCAGGAATTCAGTAAGGCTTTATTATTATTATTATTATTATTATTTTATTTTATTTTATTTTATTTTATTTTATTTTATTTTATTTTATTTTTATTTATTTATTTATTTTATTTATTTTATTTTTTTCTTCCTGATTTTGAACCGAGACAAACCCTCAGCCACACCTCTCCATGAGCACCGACCTTCACGATGGCCACCACCCGAAAACGAAAGCTCCTCCTCATCCTCCCCTTGCTCCCCAATGTCTCCGCAGCCTCGGGGCACATTTTGGTGCCCAACATCCTCAAGAACACGCATTTATTTATGTAATCCCACGGCTTCCACCTTCCTTGTTTGCTTTGGCCACGTGGCGGAGCGCAGGTGGCAGGGCCTCATCTCGATCCATCCCCGACGGCCTCCAAACGGTTCTAATTAATCCTCCCCGCTGGATGGGGTCTCGTAGGGTGGGGATTAGGAGGAATTTATTTGATTTTGGAGGGGTTTTCCAGCCCTCGTGGTTCTGTGGTTCTTTCAAAATAAGGTCACACAATGAAATAACTGCCCTGCAACAGGCCGAGCTGGTGGCCCCATAGTGGTGGAGGGTGGTGGCACCACAGGGACCTGCCCCAGACCTGTCCCGTGTCACATTATGAGGAGGCAACGGGGACAAAGTGCCACCCACATGGGACATTTGTGGCTAAAAGAGTGAATTTAGGGTCGGTCACCAAGATGGTCACAGCCCGGAGCACTTCCCATGGGGACAAGTTGGGGGAGCAGGCCTCGTCCATCCTATAGGGCCCAGAAGCTTTGGGGTCACCTCCCACCCTCCTTTTGGGGTTAGGGAGAGGACGGAGCCAGGCTCCTGGTGGTGGGGGCTGAACCTGGGGAGGGTCTCGGGGGGGGTTTGTGGGGCAGCTCCGGCCTTGGTGGGCTTCCAGACCCCGCTGTGGGGTGAGGGAGGTGAAGGGGAATTGGTGCTGGGGTGGCTCGGCCCTAAAGGGAAGGAGGCTGCTGCCATCTAGAGCAGGGACTCCTCCGCCTGCGGCCGAGCCAGGCCGGAAAGGCTGAAAATTTGCCTTAAATTGACGGAAATTGAAGGAAAAAGCATCAGGAGCCGGAACTGAGAGTGCAACGGGCTCCAGGGCGCCGGGCTGAGCACCCGGCCCATATCCCCATGCCCCCCCCCAAAAAAAACCCATTCCCCCTTTGTGTCCCCAAATCCCCCATTTCCCCATGTCCCCCCCAAGTCCTTATTGCACCCCCCACCCCGCATAACCCCCATACCCCCCTCATGTCCCATTTCCCCCATGTGCCCCTCCATGACCCCACGCCCCCAAATCCCATATAACGCCCATGCCCCCCTTGTGTCCCCAAATCCCCCATTTCCCCATGTCCCCCCCATGTCCCTATTGCACCCCATAACCCCCCCATAACCCCTGTGCCCTCCTCGTGTCCCATTGTCCCCCCATTTCCCCCATGTGCCCCCCCATGATCCCACGTCCCCAAATCCCATATAACCCCCATGCCCCCTCGTGTCCCTAAATCCCCCATTTCCCCATGTCCCCCCCCCGTGTCCCTATTGCACCCCATAACCCCCATGCCCCCCTCATGTCCCATTTCCCCCATGTGCCCCCCCATGACCCCACACCCCCAAATCCCATATAACCCCCATGCCCCCCTCGTGTCCCTAAATCCCTCATTTCCCCATGTCCCCCCCGTGACCTCATACCCCCAATAACCCCCTATAACCCTCATGCCCCCCCCCTTACCCTCCCTCCCCCCCTTTTCCCCCTCCCCATTCCCCCTCAAATCCTCCGGGCCGCCGGGGGGCGCCCTGACAATGGGCGTGGCTTAGTGACCACAGTGGGCGTGGCTTAGCGGCGGGACCAGAAACAAGACTGTGTGGTGGGCGTGGCTTGTGCCTTATGGGCGTGGCCTCAAGCTATGTGGGCGTGGCTTTGAGACTGGTGGGCGTGGCTCGACGGCGGCGCACATTGGGTTTAAGCGCGGGGGTGGGCGTGGCTTGAGGGAGGTGGGCGGGGCTTAAAGGCGGTGGGCGGGGCTTAAAGGAGGTGGGCGGGGCTTGTGGGCGCAGCGCTCCGATGGCGGTGAGCCGGGCGCTCGCCCTGCGCCTGGCCTACGCGGCCACCGGCTGCGCGCTGGGGCTCTCGGCCTTCTTCACCTGGAGCCTGGCCGCTGCCTTCCGACAGCCCGCCACCGCCGCCGCCGGGGGGCTGTCCGGTACGCTGGGAACGGGAATGGGGCTGGGGATGGGGCTGGGGGGGGAGATCGGGGCGGGCAGGAGCCGTTCGTGCTCGGGGTGCTGGGGCTGGGCCCAGGGTGCTGGGCCTGGGGGGCTGGGGGGGGAATTGGGGCGGGCAGGAGCCCTTCGTGCCCATGGTGCTGGGCCTTGTGCTGGGGCTGTGGTGCTGGGGCTGGGCCCATGGTTTTGGGCCCGTGGTGCTGGGGTTGGTGCTGGGGGGAGAAGGTGGCAGGCAGGAGCCGTTCGTGCCTGGGGTGCTGGTGCTGGGCCCAGGGTGCTGGGCCTGGGGGCTGGGGCTGGGCCTGGGGGGCTGGGGCTGGGGCTGGGCCTGGGGGGCTGGGGCTGGGGCTGGGGGGAGAAATTGGGGCGGGCAGGAGCCGTTCGTGCCCATGGTGCTGGGCCCGGGGCTGTGGCTGGGGTGCTGGGGTTGGGCCTGGAGCTGGGGCTGGGGCTGAGGGAGATTGCAGCGGGCAGGAGCCACTGGGACCCTGGTGCTGGGCCTATGGTGCTGGGCCCAGGGTGCTGGAGCTGGGGCCCGTGGTGATGGGGCTGGGGCTGGGGGGGTGATTGTGGGCAGGCAGGAGCCGTTCGTGCCCGTGGTGCTGAGCCTGGGGTGCTGGGGTTGGTGCTGAGCCCGTGGTGCTGGGCCCAAGGCTGTGGCAGGCGAGCTCCAGGGGCAGTTCTGCACCCAGAGGTGCTCGGCACTGGGATGGGATCCCCAGGGGCCTGGTCACAGCTCTGGAGTTGGGGGATCCCTGTCCCAACGCTCTCAGAAACGTGGTTTGGGTTCGGGGTCCGGAGCCGGGAGCTGGATTTGGGGATCCTCAGGGGGCTCTTCTGCGGTGGGAAGCTCCCTGTGACAGCCCCAGCGGGGCTTCAAGGCTCAGGTGGGGGTTTGGGGGCTTCTCCTGGCCTCCCCCAAGGGTATTTGGGGGGCTTGGGACCAGGGGCCGGGGTCTGGCTGCGTTTGCAGCTGGAGAAGCCAAGCAGCATTTTTTGGGACACACCGACCGCACCTGCACGCGGGGAGCCCCAGGTGCCGGCCGGCCTTCTTACCGAAAAGAGGCTTTTATTTTAAACTTCAAAACTTCAAAGTTTTGTTGACTTTCCCGGCGAGATTTTGGCCTGGAAAGCAGCATTTACGCCTGCTCTGTGTTTTCAGGGAAAACCCAAATTGCCCGCTTCCTGAGGTTTGTACCCGCTGAAAGCATCCGGGCTGGATGCTCTGAGACAGGCGTTTGAGCTGCTTTTCGGACAGGCCACAGGCTGTAAAAACCCATCTTTATGTCCTCTGACATCAGTGGTGCATCAATATCTTGTTTAAATTATATATTTTTCGTTAATGGTTGGGTTGGAGCAGATCGCAGCTGTCCCTCCATTTACCAGCTCCGGGGTTTTCTCTGGCTGAATTCAAGCAACCACCTGGAGCTTAAAGGGAAGTGAAATTTGGTAAAGAATCCGAATTTCTGCTTGCACACGAGTGAATCCAACGCTGCTGTGACCGCCTGGGTGTTTGCCCCAGCAGGGCAGCTGGGATGCCCGGGGTTGTGCTGGGTTTGCCATCCAGCCGATTCCCTCAGCTCCCTCTTCTTGCCATTCCTCCAAAATTCTTTAATTTTGATTAAAGGTAACAGGGGCTCAAGGTAAGCGAGATTAAAAAAAAATAGTCACTTGCGAGGTTGCACTCGGTGAATTCGCAAGCATCTGGGGAATGTCCAGGGGCAGAGCCTCGGCAGGATCCCCAAAGCCTCAGAAACGCATTAAGAAATAATCAGAAAGGCTTTCGGCGTCTTTCGCTGTTGTGACAAAGCCGATTTAAGAGGCTCCCGTCATCTCCCACTCTCGGCTGCTTTTTCCTGCCCTTCTGCTTCGCTCTCCGTGTTCCCACAGGCGAAATGAGGTGAGATTTCTCCTTTATGCTCCTGAGCTGATCATTTATAGCGTGCTGTCCTGCAAACTGGCTGGGACTGAGGAACAGAACCACTCGTGTACGGCAAGGACCTTTTGAAATTTGTTCTGCTGCCAGCCAAGCCTTCAAGCCAAGTTGCGCCAGCCTCCAGGGACAGACATTTCACGTGGGTAGGGTGCTGGGGCACTGCTGGAGAGGGAGCCTTAAAAAAAAATAAAATAAATAAGAATTGCTGTTTTTTTTTTCCCCCTGTGCACTGAAGCGAAGGCTGCTTGCAGAATTAAGTTTATTCCACGAAAAACAAATCAGCGTGTAGGAGGTTGGCCTTGTGTTTAGGCACCGCGGGTCGTTCAGTTTCGGGTATTTCACGGGGTTTTGTTTTTGGCACCCCTTTTTGTTGTCACACGCTAAGCAGCTCTTAATTTCCACTGGCAGAGAATGGCAGGGAAGGAAGTGGGCGAGCGGCTGAAACTTTCCGCTGTGCAGACGCTGCAACGTTCGCTCTCAGGCACTGCTGTGTGCCCTTCGGTCTCCAAAAAACCCTCTTTCGACTTTTTTTTAACGCAGCCAGAAGGACGGCTTCTCCCCTAATCCCCCCGGCACGGCTCAAGCGCGGTGCTGTGGGCGCTGCTGGTGGCATGGGGCGAGCATAAAACCCTGCTGGAGGTGTCCTCGTGCGCTCCGTGGGGTCGCTGTCTTCACCCCAGGCTTTCATTTTTTGGGCCAAAAAGTGCCTTTTTTCGTTCAGGAGCTTCCAAAAGCGATCCGAGCACCTGCGTGAGCTGCAGGTCCGGCTGTTGCGGCTGGCAGCGCTGACACTTTATGGGGGGGGAGGAGGATTGTTTAGGCTGGTGTAGCTGGCAGTTTAGCAAAAATTGCTAATTAACGTGCCTCTAATTAAGCCAAGGCTTCTGCCAGCCTTCTCTGCGAGCGTGCTGGTGCGTGCAGATCTGGTTGTAGCAATCCTTCTGGTTCTCCCATCACCTCTGCTGGGTGTCTTTGCTTCTCCCTTGCCCGCGTGGGGTTGCAGCCTGCCGAAATTTTTGCTGAGGTGCACTTGGTGTTATCAGGGGCGTGTTTTTTAGGATGTTTATCTGGGTGCTTCCTCTCTCCTGAGCTGTCCTGGGCTCTGTTTTAATCTCTGTAAGAAGCCTCGCTGATCCCCCTGGCATTAGGAACCCCTGGCTTTGTAATCGTTTTATTTATCTTTTCCTAATCTTCCAGAGAACTTTTCCTCCTGTGTTTTCCTTTCAAATTTTTCTTCCACTACTGGTTTCGTTAAATTTCACCTGCTTGGATGCAGTCATTGGACTAAACTTCAAATTAATTTCACCCGAGCTGCAGCGTCCAAGTTTCCTTGGCGAGCGGTGGGGTTGTGCTGAGGCTGTAACCAGAGCCCTCAATTCCCCAATTTCTAGTTATGAAACCAGAAGCGAGCAATTCCAGGTGCTGAGCAACCCCCTTTCCAGTCTTTCTGGTTGGTTTTCATGCTAATAACCCCCCCCCAAACCACAGCGCCCGGTAAGATCAGCTCGCTAATCCTCTAAATCTCAGCTCTGCCTCCAGCCGTGCCCACGTGGGGATTTTCTCATCCTCTTCAGTCGGGGGCAGACCTCCCCTATCAGCCCCTTGTTCTAAGCAGCGACCCCCGGCCGAGGCTTTCCGATAACCCCCGGGACAGCAGCTCAACGGATCCATCACGGGACCCCAAAAGTCATCCCCGAATTAATGCTGCCCGTCTCGGTGGTTTGCCATTTCGTTTGGAGCTGGTCACAGCGGCTTTTAGACCTCAATGTTTGTATGTTTGACCTCCCCCCCCCTCACCGCCTTAAATTAATTTTTTTTTTTGAAGTAAGCCACGAATCTCCACGAAACTGATGTTTTCGTTCAGCCAGGGGCAATTTAAAAGAGAAGAAAGCAATTAAAATGTTTTCAGGATGGATCCAGCCCTTTCCCGAGTGGCTTTTAATGTTCTTGTGTGTGTATCTTCTCTCCTTAAATTGAATAGAGAAAGAGTTGTGGGTTTTTTTTGTTTTTTTTTTCCACTCCAAAGAGACTTTATTGGCTGTTTCCAAGCTGCTCGGATATTTCTGGCAAAATAGAGAGCTTGTGCTTTGAGAACATAATGTGGACCAGATATTAAAGCAGCTGCAAAGGAGATGAAACACAAAGCGCACTTTTCAGACACTGCAAAACTTTACAAATATCTGATAAGTGGAAGGAGCAGAAGCTGGCTGAGGCTGGTCACAGCACCCACGGCGTGCAAAAACTACGATGCTCTGAAGGCACCGAGAGGAAAATCCAGGGAAATCCAGGCAGATTGGCTTGGTCCCTCTCCAAAAAAAAAAAACATAAAAAAAAAAAAAAAGCATCGCAGGAATAAAACACTTCCAATTGCTCCAATTTGCATACAAAATACTTAAAAAGAAGTTAAGTTGTGCCTTGTGCCTGCGTTATTGTCTTAAGCAGTGGCCAAAAGTGGGGAAAAACACATTAAAAGAAAGCACAAAGCCAAAGCCCAGGGTTTGTGCTTTGCTGTGATCTTGTGAGGGGAGAAGCGAATCCTTCCCACGTGGAAAATGTGATAAATGTGATGTTGGTTTCGTCTTCAGCACGAATGGCAGAGGCACAAAGCATCCGAAATCTGAACATCTTCCATTTCCTGCTTCGAAACGCGCAGCTCGGGCCAGCCCGGTGCCGAGGAAGCAGCTGAAATTTTATTTCAAAATATCCCTTTTTTTTTTTTTTTTTTTTTTTTTTTTTTATAATTCTTGCGCCCGTGCAGCCCGATCTGCTTTCCTCTGAACCGAAACGTCCCAAAATAAACAGCCAAGCCCTCGATTGCACGTGCCCAGAGGGAGGTTTTACCGAGGGCTTTTCGCTAGAATACTCCAAAGACTCCTCTCCTCCCAGAGCTGTTTTCCTTAAATATTTCGGTGTTGATCCTCAGCTATTTTGGCAGAATTACTGCTTAGAGAAAACCCGTTTTTAACCTCTTCCAAAAACAGCTGATGCTGAGCTGGCTTGGCTCGGAGTGCCGGAAGAGAGCGTTTTACCCTTTCTGGGAATCAACCAGCGAAGGCAACGCTTCTGCAACTCAAAAATGGGAAAAATGAGCTTAAAACGGGCGCTGCTGAGTAGCAGAGAGTGAAAAAAGAGGTTTTGCAGATGGAAAATGACGGAAGGCCTTGAAAAAACTCTTTTTGCTGCTCACTGTAGACTTCATCTTTTCCAGAACAGTGCAAGTAGATTTTAATACTTTTTATTTTTATAATTTTATTCTCATTTTTCTCTCTGTCAGCTTTGTCCCGTCGTCCACAAGCGCTTGGAGCTCCATGCAGCTGGCAGGAGAGCTCCAGTGCTCGGCGTCTTGGCCTCGCTCTACACATTTGTTGTGTTTTTTTTAATTTTTTTTTCCTCGCTCACGCATTTGTTGTTTTTTTCCCTCGAATCTGGCCCGCCCGTTAGTGCCGTACGCCGCGTCCCAGCACGGCGTGCAGACGTGGCCTCTGGCTGCTCCGAGCTCCGGGAAGGCTGCGCTGTTTTTTTCCCTGCCAAACAATGCGATTTTGTTGTTTGTGTTTTCTTTTTTTTTTTTTTTTTTTTTTTTTTTTTACAGGGACCAGGGCTCTGAGGAAGCCTCCGTTCGCTCGCAGCTTTTTGGTTTTATGCTGGGAGAAAGCGAAAGTTTGGTCCCACGTCAGCTGAAGCGTGCCAGCCTGTCTGTCGGTTGGCTTACCAAAATATTTAGGATTTCGTCTTTTTCTCCACCTGCCTAAAAGCTGAGCTCGCTCCAGCTTTGCGACTTGCCTTTTAGGATGTATTTAGCCGTGTTCCAAGTATGCTGCAGGTTTTTATATTTCAAATATGAATTAAACAGCAGCTCAGAGGTATAAAAGGCTTTAAAAAAAAAAAAACCCTGCCCCTGTCGCTGTTGTTTCAGATGTTCTCGTGGTTGTTTGATGGGCCAGCTTCCTTTTCCTGGAGCTTTGTGTACTTTGGATAATTAGTGGGTTTTTTTTTTTTGGTTTAAAGGTAACAACTTTCCCGCTGCTCTCTGTCGGAAATCCCTCGATTGTGTTTTGTTTGGTGCCTCTCGTTTTAGGGTGGTTCCAGCTTGGAGTAAATCCACCCAGCCAAAACCTTTCCCTGGAAAGGGGGGGGGCGAGTTTTTTGGTGTTATTTCCAGCAGGTGATGTCACTGCAGCTTCTGGGTCTGCTCCAAAAATCCAGGTGTGGATGGGGAGGGGATTTGGGGGAGCCTGAGGATGCTGAAGGTCCTGCGCTTAATCACTGCAGGCTTTAAATGCCGTCACTTTTATTCCTATTCCAGTAAAAAAAATATATTAAAATGTGCTTTTTTTTTTTTGCAGTTGCACAGGTGACTGAGTTAGCTGCTGTTCTGCTGCCTGCATCCAGCTGAGGGGTTTGTGTTAAAGCTGCTGGCCCCTTTTTTTGGGGGATTCAGGACCAGAGTCCTGCTCTCGTTTCTTTTGCCTGTGTCTGAGCACACGCGCGTTTCCTCTGCTGCTGTGGATGCTTCTTGAGGCAGCTCTGCCAGCTGATTTAACTTCTTGTAGCCTTTTTCTGCCCTTTTAGGGGAAAAAAAAAACACCAAACCCCGCTGCTCTGCAAGCTCCGTAGCCTCGCTGGAGGATTTGGGGGTGTTTTAGGGGTGCAGGGGAGAGGCAGGCGGAGCTGGCGAGGACCCCGCTCCCCCCTGTTTCATGGGATAACGAATATTTTGGTGATATTTTGGGGGAAAAAGGGTTCTCTGTGCCTCTCGGCCCTGTGACCCAGCCCTGCACGTGGAGGAGCTGGGTTTTTTTGCCTTGTCACCGTTCGGGATTTACTGCTGAGGGTTGCCCCACGGCTTCCTTTCGGGCGCTGCGTCAGGCTTTAGGGCTGGGGAAGAGTCAGGGGAGGCTGGGGGGGGGATCTGGTGATGCTCATGTGCTTCTTCTGTTCTTACCACGAGAGCTTTTGGGGCATGAGAGGCTTTTTTGGCGTGGAAACACGAGCAGCTTGACTCAGCACTTCAGATCAATTGTGCTAAGTCATCTGAAAGCGCCGGTGGGGAAGCAGCTTGGTTTTGCTAATCACAAAGCCAAAGTTCCTTATTTTTTTTATGTTTTTTTTTTTAATGTGAGTTGAACTTGCTGGAGCACGAGCTTAAAGGTAACGTGAAGTCGAGGAAGTGGTGGATCAGCAAGCTGGGCGCTGGGCTTTGCCACCAAATCCCATGGCAGGCTTTCTGGAGGGCATCACCAGCGCAATCACGGTCATCTGCAGAGCTCCCAAATGCCTCCTGCCAGCCCCGCCGTGGCACAGCAGCATCCCTGCTGCCCTGGGGAGAGCCACAGCAGCAAAATCCGGAGTTCCCCTAGTGAAAAGTTGCCTTTTCTGCTCCATCCTCCACCTTTTTTCTTCCTCTGGGGCACCGTGGAGGGTGTCCGCAGCCACTTGGCACCACCCTAAGGCACTGAAAGTAGCTGCAGGGGGGGGTTCTGTGTTATTACAGGGTACCCTGGAAAGCAGCCTGGTATTTTAGCAGTGCTATCGGTCCTTTTTTGTCCTTTTTTGTCCTTTTTTTCCTCCCTCCTTGCTGCCACCCTTAAAATAAGACGTCTACAGGAGGTGGCTGCAAAAAGGAGGAGCACCGGGCAGCTCTTCAAGCATTTGGACCCACTTTTCTTACACCGAGTGCCTGGTCTCGGTTTTTCCTTTGTTTTTGGTGAAAAGGAGGCTTATTTTAAAAGCACAAGATCAGGGGAGGATGTGTCATTTCTCCTTACATCAGAAAGTGCTCGGTACTTGGGGGCTTTCGTGCCTTTCGCTCCCTCGTTTCCTCTCCCTTCTGACAAGGGGGTTGAAATGTGGTTGGGGAATGGTCCCCGGAGCCCTTGGAGGTGCCTTTTGCTGCTTCCACAAAAGCCGTGCTGATCTTAAAACGCAAAACAAAGACCTGGACGTGCTCAGCTGCTTGTCTGCTTGTGTAACCCGCACGTTTTGGGCCAGCCCCAGGAGCGCGGAGCCAGATTTCGTCCACCTTCAGCACCTCCCGAGCGTGCTTTGCCCTAAAGTGGGAATTGTATGTAAATAATCAGCTGGGAGCTGAACTTCTGCACCCTTCTGCTTTCAGAAACGCCGACAGAAATGTCACAGCCCTTTGAAAATGAAAACCCGACCAGCTTGGCAGCAGCCTTGTGGGGTTTTGTTCCCCGGTGCTTCCTTTGTGCGTTAAGGGCTTGGGCCACGCGGTTCAAACGCTCAAGCTGCTGTCAGAATATTTCCAAATAAATTGGGAAAAAAAATAGAAATAGCTGTACGGTTCTCTGAAAGCACAGAAAACAGCAAGGAGGACAGGAAGGCTTCGTGGTAATTGGGTAAAACCTGAATTAAGCTCGTTTGGGAGAGCTTTGGATCGTGTTCCTTGTACTCTTGTGCAATTATCCATCGGCACAGCAGCGTGGTCCCGTCCCCTCCTCGTGGTAACCCTTCTTTAGCATAAGGAGTAAATTTGCTCTGTGGATAAATGCAAAGGAAAACAAAGGTTTTCCTGTAGGGCAGCTGGATGGTGACACCGATCCCAGTGGCTGGTAATTTTGGGTTACCTCAAGGGCTCGGAGGGGGTTTGTGTGCATGGATGCCCTGTGGGGTTAAGTGGGGATGTGCTGGAGCCAAAAAGGATCCGGACCTGTACCCTAAAGCCTGCCCTAAAGCTGTGGGGTGCTTGCGGAGGGCGATGCTCACACGGGCAGCCCTCTTGCCCCCGTTTTCTGAGTGCCCTGGCAATGAAGCGTTAACACTCGGTGATTTTTTGGGGGCGGTTATTGGGATGTGCATTTATTCAGCACCTTTCTGTGCGGCGGTGTGATGCACGGTACTGATTCCCCTTGCTGTCTGATCGAGCAGGTGTTCTGGCGCTCTGGGCCCTAATCACGCATGTGATGTATGTGCAGGATTACTGGAGGACCTGGTTAAAAGGGCTGAGGTTCTTCCTCTTCATCGGGATCCTCTTCTCAGCCCTCTCAGTGGTGGGGATCTGCACCTTCCTCGTCCTGGCCATCACCAAGCACCAGTGTAAGTACCTGGCAGCGGTACTGGGAGCAGCGGCTGGTGCTGCTGGGGTTACTGGGGCTGGGTGGGAAGGAACAGACTGGGAAGGGGGGGCTCCTGCCACCTCTTGAGAGGCACCGTGAGGTTTTTGGGGAGGGTGCCAGAATGCATTTCATTTTTTTGGCTGTCACGACCCGCGGACACGAGAGCCGATGGGCACCACTCCCTGGGGCAGCGCCCGTCTGCTGCTGCCTGATAGCTCAACCTGCAAACAATCCCCATTTCCCAGCTCAGTCTTCAGCAGAAACTGGAATTTACTCCTCTGACAGCTGAGGGGAGTGCTCTGAAACACCGCGCCTCAGCGCTCGTAAAGCAGGTGGGCGAGGACTTTGCAATCTAAACACGAGCCAGCGGGGTGAGATGCCTTCGGAGCTCAGTCAGCACGCACAGCCGCGTCCCTGGGAGCTGTGCAAGTGTCATATGAGGGCTCGTGTCCTCGTGTCATTCCTCCCCGTGGTTGCTTGGCCGTAGATCAAAGGGAGAAGGATCATGTTTGTGTTTTTTTTTTTTTGGGGACTGCGTTTTCGTTTGGGACTGAGTTTTTTTTTTTTTTTTTTTTTTTTCTGGCCAGGCTGCGTAAGGAATAAAACGCTTTGTAAATGCACCTCGTGTCCTTGTGTCCTTGTTCTCTCTCCTAGCCCTGACTGATCCCAGGAGCTACTACCTGTCGTGCGTCTGGAGCTTCATCTCCTTGAAATGGGCCTTCCTGCTCAGTCTGTACGCCTACCGGTACAGGAACGAGTTCGCAGACATCAGTATCCTCAGTGACTTCTAACACTTGGACTTCAATCCCGTCTGAAGGTGCTGGAGGTCTGATCTGCCCCCCGAAGGCATGGTCCGTGCGAGAGATGCGCAAGAGGCAGAGAAGGAACTCACCCAGTGCTGCTTGGTTTGTCTGTCTGCAGTAGGGGTTCTTCCTAATTGCTTTTACTCAACCATTTAAAGTTTGGCTAACGATGTCAATCCAGTCTTTAACTTGCCCGGGAGTCCCAGTGTCTGGTAGCGGGTCAAAGACCCCGTCTGCTTACACACAGCAGGTCCAGACCCACTCTTTGCGTTGCCCTCGAGTCCTTGGGCTTACACGTGGGGAGGAAGCCCACGCAGCACCCCGACACCTGGTGCTGGCGAGGGCATCGCCAGGTGGGTGCCCAGATGTGCCCAGAAACCCTGCTGGGTGGAAATCGTCTCCATCCCTTTAGTGCCAGGCATCCCTTGCCTCTCCCAGAGGTGGAGAGTGCTGATTCTGGCTGCTCACCTAGAAGGAATTTAATATTTTATTTCATGCTAAATTTTCTAGGGAGCAGGACAAGGTGTTCGGGTGGCAGGTGCGCTGGGGAAGGGCTTGCTTACCTGAACCTCAGGAGAAACCTGAACGTGATTCTTCTAAAAAAAAATATTTCCATAGGTAGCAGCGTTTCCTTTTCTCGGCTCGGCTTCCCTTTATGAGCAGGATGAGAGAGGGAAAGTTCAGTCCTCAAAAATAAAAAAAGGTATCCAGGAAGCCTCCAAAAGGAGTGCCCGATGGAGGCACCGCCTGCGCTGCCACTGGTCCCTGCTGTGCTTTGGAAGGCGAGAGGTTTGAGCACGTAATAATTAAATAAAGTTGCTGAGGGTATTTTGCAAGCAGCTGACAACACCTGGATAGCATTCCCCTGGTTTTTGGGTGGGAAGATCCTCAATTTACCCAGCTTGGAGGGACGCCGGGTCAATGCACCAAGCCAGCCGTGCCGGGGAACCTGCTGGAGGCTGCTGGAGCCCGACAAAAGGCTGCGGACGTGAAATGCGCTTACGAGGTTAATGCTCAGGCTTTTAAATCCTAAAATCTCCCGTGCTGCTGACGTCGGGCTGCCAGCATGCCCGGCATTCCCTGCCACGGATCCGACGTGGGGTTTGCGGGAGGTTTTAGGGAGGTTTTAGGGTGGGTGTCTCCAAGAAGCCATCTCTCGTCTCACGTTTCCCCAGCACGACTCTGCCCACGTGTTCACAGCAAGCAGCACATTGGGGCTCCCTTCCCGGGCACACATCCCCAAAATCCCCTCGGCTGACCCCGGAGGTTTTTAAAGTTTATTTTTGTGACACTAAATTTGCCTACGAAACAGCTCACAGCATCTAACCCCACCCCCCCTCCCCGTTTTCTCCCTGCCATGTTTTAGCTCTGGAATTTCTACTTCCATCTCGGCTTTTTAAGAGATCGTCTCTGTAAATATATAATATATTTTTACATCGTTTCCGCTTCGTTTGCACGCTTGGTGTGAGGCTCGGTCCTGCAGCGGGATGGAGCGATCCACGGCGGGGCTCCTTCGTGTGTATCCCAGTGTCTCCTTGTACTAAGCTGCGCTGTGTAACTCGTGTGTGACACCACGGGGAGAGCAGAAATACACTCGTCTTTCTCACCAAAACGCTGTCTGCAGAATTTGTTCTATAAAATTGTTAAATTTCAGCTCTTTCCCTTTCCCATTGAAAGCTTGCAGGAGTGTGGGGAGGACAGGAATTGTACAAAACACTTCGCTTTTGGGGGCGATGCACAATCACAGCAATTTTAACCTTTACTGCACCCTGCCCATCTTTACCAGCACCCTCAAAACCTATAGCCACACGTAGCAATACCTGATGCAGTATTTTTCATTTGTTTTTTGTTTTTCCTCCCAAAACTTCACGCCCTGTCTTTCCCCTCCCCAAACCACACCTTCGAGGTGCGCTTTTATTTCGGAGCTGTGAATTTTCTCCCCGAGGGATCCCACAAAGGACTTACTGGGTTGGGGTCGTTGTCTTTATAAATAGTAAAAATCTCAGATCGTGCACCCCTGCAGCCCCAGGTGAGATTCCCAAACCTCTGCTCAGGGAGAAGACCTCACATATTTATTGCCCATCGTCTGCTTTCCGTCTCCTGGCTGGGGGGAGGCCGTGATAATGAGAACATTTGGAATAAATCTGGGAGGCGCTGGGGCAGCATCACCCCTTTGAAGCTTTTCCTCCAGGAGGTCCAAGTGGAGCTGGGGGAGCTCCAGCCACAAACGAAACGAGTTTGCTGGGCTCAGCCCCATCCCTGCTTACCTTCCCCAAAAAGACCCCAAGCAGCCACCCTGGGGGCTTCTGGGGTGAGAGGTGAGAGCTGAGGGGTCTGCTGGGGGCAGGAGGGGTCCTTTCCCTCTGCCACCCCAGCAGGAGCAGCCTGGAGGGGGGGGGGTCCTGGCTGAACCAGGAGGGCAGCACCCATGGGTGCAGGGTGGGCAGCGGCCGGCGGAGGGCAGCAGCGGCTTGGCCATGGGGAGCAGCGGTGGAGCAGCACGGAGGGGGCGAGCTGGGACCCCCCCAGGGCTGCAGCAGGGTCCTGCACCACCAGGGCAGCCCGGCTGAGGTCCCCTTGGAGCTGCAGCCAGGTTGGAGCCCTTTGGGCATGGACCAAGCCCTTTCCAAGCTGAGGTCTGCAAAAGTCACTGTTTTTTTTTCACCTAAATCCCCACCCCAGGATGGTCTGGAGGGTCTGGGGGGTTGAGATGCACCGGGGGGGGGGGGGTTTTGGGGGTTGCCTGTGCCTTGCTGGGGTCTCACGAGAGGCTCTGGGAGCTGCTCCTGCGCTGGGAGGTCGCTCCTGGCACCGCTCCCGGCTCCTTCGTGCCGAAATCCCAGCTGGTTTCGTTCTGCTGTGGAGCCACCGAGTCTCTGCCGTGGATGGGGATGAGCCGAGGGCTGACAGCACCAGACGGGGACAGCACCAGAGCCCCCCCCCAGGGCCTTGTCCCCTGCGTCAGGCCCTGGGGCTGAGCGGGGTGGCCGGGTGGCGCAGCGAGAGGGATGCTCGGGGACGTTGGTACCCACCTGGCGTGGTGTCCCGACATCCCCCTGGCTGTAGGTTCCTGGCCACGAAGCTGCTCCTGGGCTGCCCGCGAGGTTCAGGTGATGGCTCTTCGCTTGGTTTTTGGGGTTTGGTGTCCCCTGGGTGGCTCCCCTGTGCTGTGGTTTGGGATTTGCAGCTCGGTGCGTCCAGGTGTCCTCCGAAACACGGGTAGGGCTGCACCGGTCAGGATGGGAAGAGGTTTTTTCCTACCCCACAGCAAGGTCTCCAGCCCCTGCCCCGAACCAGGCAGGGCAGCATCCCAGCCCAAATTCCAGGCTCAGCCCTTTGGAGCTGGGATGCGAGGGGAGCAGGGGCTCGGGTGGCTCTAAAGGGCCACAACCACCCCTCCAGCCCCCCACCTTGCACCAGGGCCCTTTCCTTCCTGCAGGTTCCCCAAAATCCTGGGGACCCCAGCTCCTTTCTCAGGGCAGAACAGGCTTCACCACCCAACAGCAGACTTTTGACGAAATTCCCTGTTTTTCCACCCAAATGGGGGTGCAGCAGCGTTCGTATCGCGCGGCGCTTGGCCACGCGAGGAAGCCCGCAGAAACGGGGCGGCATCTGCTGAACTCTGCACGCATTTTGTGCCTCAAAAAGGGTTTTTGGTGTTGGAAGGAGCCTGCCACGAAGCACAGCTCAGCCTGCAGCCCTCCAGCACCCTCTGGGTTCGGCTCTCCAGCACCTCGTTGAGGTCCCAGCACCCTCACGGCCGGCACGGGGAGGGTCCCCTCTTCGCCCATGTCCGCCGCCCTGATCCCGTCTTCCTGCCTGAGCGGCGCTTGCAGATATTCAAAGCAGCATTAAGGAAAACAACAGATTTTTTGCATTTTAGCAATCTGCTTTCAAGATGTGGGGAGGTCGGAAGCGGCGTTTCAAAGGGCTCGAGCGCCGCAGCCCCGCCAGGCGCTGGGGGCCTCCGCGGCCCAGCCTCGTTGGAGCTGCTGGACCTGGCCCTTGGAAAGGTGCCTTTGGGTGCTGATGGCACCCTGGGCGAGCTGGGTCCATAAAAATCAGCCTTGAGTCCTCTGCGTGGGCTCTGGGGCTGTCCTTAGGGGTGCCCCATAGCTCTAGGGCATGGCACAAAGAGGTCTCCAACCATCCTGGAGGTGGCCGTGGAGGGACCGAAGGGTGGCTGAAGTGGAAGCGTGGCACTGGGAATGGTGGAGGAGGGCTGGAAGACCAAAAGGTCCCCACGGAGGCTGCCCAGTCCTCCCATTTCCCTCGGGATGTCCACCCATTTGTCCACCTGGGGTCCCATCCTGCTGCTTTTAGCCAAAGCTGCGCTTGCAGCACCCACGCGTGGGTGCGGAGATGGAGACCTGCTGGCAGCACGGAGCAGAGCAAGGGCAAGCGGGCCACTTCCACAAGTCCTCCCGGCCAAGAAGGGGGGAATTTGGCCAGGTTTGGTGGCACTGGGCCATGCCACGCCGTGCCAACTGGCCCCACCGCCCGCTCTGCTGCGAGCGTGGCCCCCAGCCTTGCAGCAGCGAGGCCGACCCACCCTGCGAGGAGGGAGCCGACTCAGCACATATTTGCTCTTTGTTTACTGGCTGTTGCTTGTAAAAAAAAATATATTAAAAATAAATAAAAAAAAAAAAAAAAAAATCCCCCAAATACCATTTTTATAACAGCAGCCCTTGCACGCAACGCCCTGATGGGAGCAGGAGGGAGCTGGAGCCCATCGAGTGCTGGCTGGGGCGAGATGTAGCGGGCACGGGGTGGCCCAAAACACAAAGGAGAGGTTGGGGAAGGACTGGATGAGGCCCCAGAGCAGGGTGCTGAAGACCCCAGGCACGGGGTAGCCCTGGGCATGGTAGGTCAAGATGGTGCTGGGTGGTTTGGGGTGAGTTTGGGTATGGATGCTGGACGCACGGACACGAGCCCTGGGCACGTTCTCCAGGTCACCACCTTCAATCCAGCCCCTGGTGATGACTCCCCAGGGGCTGTTCCCAAAATTTACGCTCTGTGCACCGCAGACAGGTGCTGTGCCCGCTTCTCTGGCCACTTACGGAGGAAAGGATTCGGTGCAAGAGGTTTGGTGGAGCTGAAATGGCTCCTGCAGCGCGATGAGGGAGATGCTGGGGGAGTGGAGCGCGAGGTCCTGCCATCCCGAGCCTCCTTCCAAGGGGATTTTCGTGCTCCTGCCTGTGCTCATCGTGAGCCAGCAGGCAGAGGTGGGTTTTGGTAAAAATTAGCAGTGGGATTAAAAGTCCCCAGCTGAGCTGATTTAGTGTCGGGATAAGCCAACCGGAGTGCAGACGGAGCTGGGAGGCAGCCACGGTCTGAAGGGGGGGTGCTGAGCATCACACACAGAACTGGGAATGGTTATTTTTAGGACATCTTTCAGTTTGGAGAGCAACCAAGTGAGTAAAATGGTTCAATATGGTTCCAATATTTAACAGAAGAAAAGAAAAAAAAAAAAAAAAAAAAAGAGGCTGAAAATTGCCGGGTTGAAGTTGAGTATCTGGGAAGAGCCTTTGAGACAATATTTATGGTGATGTGCAGCCAAAAGGAGCCAAAACGTGGATTTGCCTCAAGGTTATCAGCGGGTCCCGGTGTCCTGGGGAGGTCCCTGTGGTTGATTTTGGTTTGGGGGGGGCTCAGGTTCACTGTTAGGACAGCCCCCATGGTGCAGGGCAGCCCCGTGCACCACCGCTAACCCAGGGATGGAAAAATAAAGAAAAAAAAGGAGGGTGAAAAAAATAAAAAAATAAGAACTGGAATGATCACAGCAGAGGAAAACGGCCCCCAAAAAAAAGGTGAGCAGTGGAAGGGGTGCTCTGGGTGCCCTCCCCTCCTCTCGTGATGCTCCTCCAGATCCCGTTCACCCCGCGCCCCGGGAGCCAGGTCCCCTGGCACAGCGCAGAGCTTTGAAGGCCTCGTGGGGGAGAGCTTGTTCTGGGAATAATTACCTTAAAAATCGCACGCAGTGGCAGCTGGGTCCCGAGGCTGAGGGCTCCAACATCCTCAGAAAACACAGATTGCTCCCTTATCTCCCTAGCCTGGGAGAAAATGGGGCTGGTTTGGGGATGCCCGAATGTGCCGAGCAGATTTTGGGTGCTGCTGGCTTGCAGTAGAGCGCTGAGCTGAAGCCCCTGCACCCCAAAACCCACCAGACCAATGCATTTTCATCCTCCTTTCCAAATCTGATAGTTTTTTGGGTGTTTTTTTTTAGCTTTCTCACCCCAGGGAAGGTTTGCTCGGTGGGACGGGATCAGCCAAGCTCTGCTTGGGGGCAGCTTCACCCAGGAGGGGGGGAATAAAATGGGAAATCCAGATGGCAAGTGGCAAGAAATCTTCATCAAGAAGGGTTTTTTCTGGTCAGGTTCCATTTCTTTTGCTCTCATCTTTGAATGCATCTGGGTCTTGCTGTCAGCTCTTCAGCTCCTCTTCCCTATGGCCAAAGCCTCCGCACTGCAATGACTTTGGGTGACTTTGGGTTACAAAATGCCTTTTCCTTCCTTCCAGTTTTTAGGCACGTGGAAGCGTAAGGGCAGGCTGTCCCCAGGCAGTCCCCACGGGACCCCCATTTGGTGCCAGCCCCTCTCCCACCGCAGCCCC